CCGTCCTCGAGATGGACGGCGTGGGCGTGATATCGGCATGTAGCCGCGGCGGCGGCGCGCAACACCAAACCCCTCAGCGCGGCCAGGCTCACGCTGTCCATCCACGACCACCGCCGCCATCTCGAGGACCGCCACCACCTCCACTACCACCTTCGCCATCCACGAGCACTGTCGCCATCACGACCACTACCGCGACCACGACGACCGCCGCCGCTAATGCTGCCAACACCACCAACGTAACTATTCTCATCACGGTCACCAGGGTTAACACCACCGCCATCGTCTCCAGCGTCTCCAGCGACGAGCAAGCCGGAGCGTGATCTTTCCTTTGATGCTCCTTCCCCCAGTTGAGGTGTTCATCTTGATTTGCCTCCCTTCTTTTTTCCCTGCTTCCGTTTTCCGAAGTGAGAAAATTGCTATTTCATTTCTGACCATCGAGATTTGTATGTAGCACACACATCGTATATGCTCGTTTCGATTTATCTTCAAATCTTTAATTCTACTTCATAGGGTAACTAATCCACTGCTTGTTTATACTTTGCTCAACAAAAAGGAAGAACAACTACAAGTATAATCACTTAACTCCACGCTGCTAAAATGATTAGTTGAGACGTTTTCTATCCAACCCAGATAATTCCATCTCTTACAATTTGTTTTTGCAATTTTTTCTCATTCTTGAAGAGTCTTTCTAAGACTAATAAAATGTATAAGTAGTTTAAACGGCGCTTATTTCCAACTCAAATATGGAGAGCAAATATTCTGCTTATTCATTAGTGCATTAATGCGAAAAAACTGAAAAATGTTGCAAACGGTGTGATTTGGTTTGGACGGCAAACGGTTTTTTAAAATAATTTCTTATTTGCAAAATCACGAATCTTTTAATTTAGTTTTGCATGAAGAAAGGTTAGAACTTTGCACTACTCTCTCTGCAGACATAACAAAAATACATTACTTACAATTATTTTAATATTTTTAAACTAAAATATTTCCAATTACGAGAATTACTGCGGAATGTGTCCATAATGGTATTATAAATTTTGTTATTTGTTTTTAAAGCAGTAAATATTAAAATGTAATGTCATAATATACAACAAATGAATCCCTTAAATCGTAACGATCTCTCTCTGTTAGTTCTTAACTCTGAAGAAATACAACGCAATTCAATATCAATCATCAGAAAGAATTTGAAATAAAATTACAATTTCCAGTACCTACATACGAGTATATGAAATAAAAATCTTCAACGAGAAATCTTGTTCAACAGTAATTTTCGGGCATAAATCAGACATTTTTTTTCGGATTGACTAGCATAGCATGTGCAATCTATGGAATGTATGATCTCCCGCCCCCAGGCAGCAACAATCCTTCAACTCCATCGTCGTTCTTTGATATATTGATTAGTGATTTTAGGCGTGACAATTGCTAAGTTTCTCGTACGTTTTCATCGAGAGATGGAATGTTCTTCCGATAAATGGTGAGTTCAGACGGCTAATCTACTGTCGGCTAAGGGGGTTTCCCCAACCATCTATCTCCCACTAGTAGGGAGGTACTCAATCCGAGACAAGCTCTAATCTCTCGGAACGTAAGTGTAACTGTGTGTAAGGAAAAAGGATAGGGCAAGGAAGGGGAAGGGAAAATCGCGTGTGATCCGTTGCCCGTTTGCTAGGGTGCTGCTCTGACATTTACCTAGTACTGACCAGAGAAACCACAGAAAACTATCAACCAGAGCAGCAGGACACACGAATTCTCTTTCAGACAACGGCGTAGCTGGAGCCAAAAACCCGGGCACTACCGTCGGGATAAGAGCCTAGAACCTCCCGGACGGAGGCAACGACAATCAGTTGTTGCCCTGAGCCACCCCTCCACGTCATCGCCGTCGTCGTCACCATGGCGACGAGCCATTCGCTCGACCGAGCGAGCAAGTAAGCCAGCTGGCGGAGGATGCAGCGGGGGCGGTCTTTACACGCGATTCGCGGAGCGTGTCAATATTTCGACTCCAAATACGCTTCGTGTCGAGCCGCGCGCCGGCCGCCCCCGGCCCCCGCGACGCATGGCAGCGCCGACAGCGCAGGAGGCACGGCACACAACCACTTGTCGCTCGCTCACTGTTCCGGTTGAATGTCTTTCCGCAATCGCATGAATTTGAGGTTGAACAATATTGTTGCACGATCGTTGCGTGCTTCGTAATGGAAACAATAATTACCAGAGAATGGAGAGTGTATTGATGCGGTAGTACAAACCCGGAAGATGAATTGAGCTCTAGTAACGAGGAATGAGGTTTTATTCTGATAAAGGCATACCAGTAGTTTAAATATGAAATACGCTTGATTAGTTTTCTTTAATATTCTTTTGTAATATGATTGGATCAATCTAAAGAAAATAATATTGATATCGATTTTAATGAAACTCAAAATCAACGACTACTTTTTATTTTCTAAAGTGAAATAATTATTTTGTTGTTATTACTTTGCCATTATTTTTATGTTAGATATAAAATGCAAAGATATTAATATAGTCCCATACTACGTAAACTCGGTAGATTAATCCTTGAATCGTTTATCAGGTTCGAGTCTCATAAACTAATTACAGATTGAAGAAGCGAGTTCTTATTATTCCTTAATTGAATAATTTATTTCAAAAACTCGTCAAACACCAAAATCTAAAACACTCACTAGTGATGGATTATTGTTGCAAGAGGATATACACATTTTTTAGCGCATATTTATTTGAAAACAGTTCATTCATCAACTGATTTAATAAAAAAATTATTTTAATCTGAAAAATACAAACATTTGTTCTCATTTTTCTCGAAATCAGGAATTTGACGTTTGACGGGTTAAATAAACGATTCAATTGATCTAATTAAGAGATATTATCTTTTGTAAATAAATAGAATGTAATAAAATCCTTCAAAGAAAAAAGTGAAAGTGAAAAAGGTTAAACATAATCTTAGTATAAAAATGAATCCTAACATCAGCTTAAAATTATAAATATTACATAAAAAGAGAATAATATGATTATTTTATTAATACGTACAATAAACACTAATAATTAGCATCTGTCTAAAAATTTCACCCCCGTATATTATTTTTTATACTTTATTATGAGGTTAACATTTAAATATTTTTATCGAGTTTATTATAAGAATGCTTATTTCGAAAACTCAAGTTTTGAGTATTAATGCATTCAGCCAGCGAAATCTTGTTGGTAATCTCCTTAAATAGTAAATAAAATGTTGGCTTATCTCTTTCGTCGTTTTTGAACATTTTTACAGTAAAAAGAGAAAAGCACAAACAAATATTACAATATTTTACCGTTTGTATTTTTGAAACAAAGTAGCAACTAAAATAGGAAAATGTTTTCCTTAAGTACTCAAAAGAATATAATATCTCTTTTTGGTTTGAATGTTTTGGAGGTTTGATTACCTTTATTCAAGATACGTAAGCTATTTGGCAAATTTATAATCATTCCTTGGGCGTAATTCACATTTTCGGTGGCAATCTGAGCAACACTTCCTGTACGCAACCACAAAGCGAAATCAGGTTCCTCATTAATGACGCTGTAAATCTATAATTAAAACATAACACTTATATCACATCAGTACACAGTTAGATGAAAGGTCACATAAAAGACTGTGGTTCTGGAACAGTTCAGAGTTGTCTCGTGGAAAGACACTGAAGCAATAGACTCTATTCAAGTTTCATTTGCCAACGCAGCGATGGCTCTCAAGGTAAGAATATCCTGCATTAAATAACGTACGATGTAGAAAAGAGTTTAGCAAATGAAATTGTGACTGAACTGTTTTCCTGACAATGTATCGTTCTTATACCTAAATTCGGATCACCTCGCTTTCTCAAATGATTGTGCTGTACTTGGTTTGTACCATTTAAAAATTAAACCAATATTAATGAATTATGAAGATTAAAAATGCTGTAAATATACTTTTGTATACAAATGTCATTTAATAAATAAAGTAGCTAAATATTTTTAAAAAAATATTTCTCTAAAAGACAGTTTTAGTAATTGTCATATGTTATTTAACTTGTTGACTAGTGTTTACCGTATAATGTTAGTCTAGATATTCCCAATGTAAATTATTCTTCAAATCTATCTAACTAGCAGAAATAGGCATTTAATATCTTCAAACCTGAACTACATAGGTAATAATGTTATGTTACATCATGTTATGATTCATATGCAAGTGGACGGAGTGAAATCTTCTCACTCCTTCCACTTGTGAAAAACATTTCACCTTCCTTTCTGGTAAAATAAACATTTATACATATCTTAATGGTCCAATTAGATCAATCATTGATTCTTTCCGTTTTCAAACACTTCCAAAAGAACTGATATTGTAATGTTTGCATACCAAAAAATAGGTTATACAATGTTACCACCGATAAACATCAATAGCACATAATATGAATAATAATTTGGCTTCTGGTTATTGATATCGCACGCACGTTTTCTAACTAATTGTGCGTAACATGTAACATGAGCAGTCTGGAACAGGCGCAACCACCGTGTGAAAGTGTTGCCATTTTGGAAACATGCCGAAGAATTTCATATCCTAAGGTGATTTCATAAAATGCAAACATAACGCACTCTCTATCTCTTAACATTGATTCGTTTATTAATAGATGTCCCAGAAAATCAAATGGCGTATATTCCTTTTATTCATACGTCAACAAAATTGCATTTTGAAAATTCCCCATATGAGTACTTCTAAGATTCGTAGATTAGAAGACGCATTATTGTTTGAAACAATGTGTAATCTCAGTCACAATTTAACCTGAAAAATCCATTCTGAAAATTTGGAAGAGAAAAGGCAAACATCTGATGTTTCGCAATACTTTCGAACACGAATTTATCTTACTGTAAAGAATAACAATTCACTGAAAGAATACCTTTGCAAAATAAGAAAAATATTCTGGTTGATAGACGACTGTGTTTTATGTGCTTAGGAGGAAGAGACTGACGAGATGCAAAAGCTGGTGGCTGAACAAAAATATGTAGACAAAGACTTTCCTCTCCCTGATGAACACTGTTTGCGGCCTCACGTAAGTTTATTACGTATTTGATATCCTATAAGAGAATCATACATGCAATCACATGTGAATGCATAATTAATGAAATAAATAAAGCTTATTATCATGGTTGAATGGGTTTTAATCAACATAAGAACACAGAATATTTAAAAAAATTAATACTATCTATTTTGTATACAGTAATATTTCATATAATGTCCTGCAGTAAAATATATATGTAAGTTAGAATATCCACAAATATTTTACAGAATGAACCGTTGTTCTTTTTTCAAGTAGTTTTACCTCTTTGAAATACAAATTAACTAATTATTACTCACAAATAATGTTTTCAATCAACTTTTATGATTCTTTGAAAGAAACCTTTTTTACCTCGCCCCTGGGGTTATCCTTGCTTCCTGCCTACACAACTTAAACAAGAATGGAAGAATTAACGAGGGTAAGAGTTCAAAAGGATACACAACTATATATTAAGGTTAAAGTTGTTCATCATCACTTTTTAACTCCCACTTCCTACTCTCCTACTCTCTACAGTGATTCTAATAAAACCACATCCAATGGAGTCAGTTCAGATACAAAAATGTATTTTAATATAGACGTGGGAGATCTAAGTTTTCAAATGATATGTAGGCATTATTTAAAGTTGTTTATTAGTACAATAAATTAATTTATTATACTGTTGTCTTGTTGTTAAAAACTAATAATCTTGTTTACAATCAAAATTAAAAATTATAGATGAAATAAAAAAACTGAAGCATTCAAAAGAGAACGGTCTGCGTCATTGAATGCATTATACTAACAAAACTATAAAATATAACAAATAATATGATTTTCTAAATTTTTCAGGCGTATCAAATAAATAATATATTCCGCAATATTCGTATTTAGAAGTAACATAAATATAGCGTATTTTCGCATATAATATAATAATACATATAATAAATATAACATACATATAATAAATATGCATAGCAACATATCGCCACAAAAGTAATATGTTATGGTTTCAGCCTATCAATATACAAAATTTACTTTCTCATTAAATTTCCTGATCTCATACCAGTAAACAATACGTGCATAAATAATCGTGTTCAAAGATGTTAAATAGAGCTGCAGATCATGACTAGACCAAGGAATTTTATGCACAAAAATGTGATGATTTAGGCTCCTAAAATAGGTAACAATGTTACTAAGTTAGGCCTTATTAAGCATGAAAAGCGACGTTTTAGGCACTAAAACTAGTGAACAAAATGATTGTATCAGGCATTAAAACATTAGACAAATGTTTTTTTTCTGGTATCTAAAACTGATCACAAAGGGATTAAGTTATGCACGTAATCAACAAAGTCAATTATTCGTATATTTGAATCTGTGAGTGTGACTCCCGCTTTTTCACTTTCATTTCTTTTATAATTAACAGCACAGCAAATAATCAAATTTCCCCCAAATTTTCTACAGTAAGGCTGAGTCTTATCTGTTAAAATAATTCTGAAAGCTGAAAAGAATATTTCCACTAACACACAGTTTATTGGAGGAAACTTAAGTTTAGTCACATTTCTCATGCCCATTCTTCTGAAATTCCCAGCACCCTACCCCATCAAAACTTGTGCCATATGACCCATCACAGCATATTCAAGATTTTTTTTTAAATTACGCTCCATCTTTTAAACTTTACTTTGTCCCTAATGGCTTCCTTAGCAGTACTAATTTTCACTTCGGGCTTTTGCACCATTGACGATTGATCTGTCAAAGGTTTCCATTTGCAATCCAGCTTGCTATTGTTACGAGCAGGAATAAATTTGTTTTGGCTGAGCCGTATGTTTTAAGCTTTGCCTTTCCGACAGTAGGATTTGTCCTGACCTATCTACGGAATTCCTCCCCTAGATTCCCTCGAGGCCATGACGCGTCGCGTCTATAAGCCTCAACTTGTCAACTGCGAAACTGCACCGGTACTGGGTGCAATTGGCACGAGCTCCTTAGTTTATGTTCAGTTGTTGAGATTTTGAAGCGTAGTCGGTTGCGTATTCCAACAGGGAATATTTGCGTTTCGATATAACAAACTTTAATAATGAGTATCTAATAAAAGATAATTCTCCAGAATTACTTGTTTTTGCCAGTTTTATGCAGAAAATTAAAATAGGTATCAACCACACTTTTAGAAAATTTAGGCTTTGTTAGATGCTTTCAGTATTCTATTTTCCGTGATTTGTAAACACGGCCATTATACTCGTATTTCACAATCCCCTAAAGGAACTACGTAGGCATTTGTCGTAAAAATCCGAGGTCTAATCATGACAACACAACATTCATGCCGTATACAAGTTTGGCGAACGAAGTCAGGGCGTAACGTATCCTTCCATGCCTCTACGCTCCCTTGGTCGGCAGGAATCAGGTCATGGGGGTTGAAAATTAATCCCCTGAGCCCCAGCGTGATGAACACAAGAAAGAAATATCCATGAACCAGGCAGGGTTTGTATCCAAATCCCTTCGAAAAATGTAAGGATCCCTACCCAGGATCGCTTACCGCACATCTTTTATGTTTTACAGGAACTCGTGGGAAAACCCAAGATGTTTGTGGACGGTCCGAGCCATATGGATATAATACAGGAGAACTTGGGAGACTGCTGGTTTTTGGCTGCCGCTAGTGTGGTCGCACAGCATCCAGAACTCATTCATCAGGTAAGGGAAAACAAAAAGGACAAGAATTTTTAAAAAATTGTAATTCTTAATCGGCAATAAATCAGAACCAATGAATGAGTACATTATATTTATTCAAATAAAGCACATTATTACATATTGCGCCAGAAATATTTTTTTTGAAAATGTAAATGATAATAGAAAAGACAATAAAATATCACTACCAAATACTTGTCAAATAAAAACAAATTAAAATTAAGACCCTATTACTAAGAATAACTTTGAATATTAGTGCTAAGGAATAATAAGTAAGTCAATTTTGAGACAACAAAAAATCAATTTTCATAATTTTACAAACATTTTACAAACAACAAATAAACACTATATTTATTAAAGGTTTCTGAATTATATTTAGTACAGTCTTCGCTACATACCAAATTTTTCATAAATTTAAAACATATCTGATAATTGTGAACAAAGATGTACCCTTTTTTATTCAACTTTGATTTCTATTTATTTTTTATGTCTAACAACGATTTAGACCACGAATTTGAAGACTACTTAAAAGTGAGCAAATATTGCGAAGTTTCAAAATTATTATTTTAAAAATGATATGGTTTCTCATTCAAAATGAACGAAAGATTATGAACTCAGAGTTTCACCATGCCATTAAGTGAGCACGAACTCATATTGTAATATTGTAGCACAATTATTAACAAACAATAAAAATTGAGCGATGAAATTTTACAGAATATCACTTTACCAATTTAAGTGTACATAGATGTTAGGCCTTTCTACTTTTTGACCACCCGTGTTAGGGATTTATAATCTCAAGCATCCTTATTAGGTATATATAGAAGCGAGACTATTACAGAGTTTTGCTTAGATAGCGGCATTAAGTCGTGCAAAACAATCTTTCCTGAGGGTATTCAGAAGCAATTCATCAATATTACCAACTTCCACACATAAAAATACTGACTAACGTCTGAAACAGTGACATTTATTTAGTCTGCTTTTACACATACTCATTTTTGCTCAAAACATGTACATGGCTTTGAGACACGAACGTACAGGTATGCACAAACCCATTAAAAATGCTCTCATTTACATTTCACTTTATTTTTGTTAATAGAAAATATAGTTTTATTTTTAATAGATTTATTTTAAAATTTGAAAAATATATATTAACAGTAATTTGAGTTTTTCTGATTAAAACAAATTCTGTAACCAAACATCTTGGAAATGCATTTTATTAAGTTAAAAAAAAATCATATAAAAATTGAAATAAGAAATTGAGTTTTACTGATTAAAAACAAATTCTATTACCAAATAACATGGAAATGCATTTTATTAAGTTGAAGTTTCCTCTAGGTGATACCAGTAGATCAACCTCTCTACGGCAAAGATTACAAAGGAATTCTGATATTTCGCTTCTGGAACGTGGGGAAGTGGACACGAGTCTACATCGATGATAGACTTTCTGTCACAAAGAATAAGCACCTAGTTTATGGAAAATGCACCAGGAAAAATGAGTTTTGGCTGCCACTTTTAGAGAAAGCTTTCGCCAAGTAAGTAACATTTTCTTTTCTCTATTTACGTTTCTAAAGAAGAAAAGGTAAATTATTTTATTACCAAATAGTAATTCTCTGTTATTTTTGATGCATGATATAATAAACGTAATAGTCAAAATTAAATGTAATGTTATCTTCTATTTATTGAAATTCTGATTCTAAATATTATATAGTACATATGGTTAAGACACATCAAATGACGTACTTTATTTCTTGGTAGATTTCATGGAGGTTACCCCAGAATCCAGGGCGGGTTTTGTGATGAGGCGTTCCTATGTCTAACGGGTTATATCTGCCAACGATTCTTCCTGAAATCCGCAGTGAAGGAAAAGGAGTTGTTTGGTACATTTACGAGGGAGATACAAAACAATTCTCTAATCGCAGTTGGTGCTCCGGTAAGTAACATACTAAGTAGACTTTTCAATTGAAAGTTTGGTAGTACTTTAGACTAGTGATTTTTCAGAAAGAAGACCTACAGGAGGATTCTTAAACGTGGGGAATGGAGAAAAATCGGTCATAGTAATAACTTCCCCATTCAATGAAATGTCAAATTGAAATAAAAACTATTGGTGAATTAGAATGGTATAGTGGTCCTAATAGTAGATTCTTAATCTCCTAAGTCGGGACTAGGTTTTGGTTTTGTATGTGTCTTTCTAGGTGCTATCTACCGGGACCTAAAATAAAATGTTTCTCAGTTTATCAATTTTTCAGTCCTCTAACTCTAGAATTCATATATCACATTGAAAATATTACAGTATGAAAAGCCATGTTATATGAGAAAAGTTTCATTCAATATTTTGCAGCCATTTTTAAGAAAAAGATTTGTTGATGGTTTTTGAAAATGCGAAATTGTGAACTAATGTTCACAAAAAACATTTTAGTGTTCTCGAAGGTTCGTAAGTATATATTTCAATCACATGTACTTACAAATACAATAATGTATAAAATCATCCATAACGTAAATATTAACGACGATATATATTTAAAGAACGAGAAAGTATGATTTTCTGCATTACTTCTAAAGTTTTGAAAGCTTTTGATATCATTGAGCAAGGCTTTGCTTTTAAAATTATTGTTATACGCGATCAGTGATTTTAACCTAGGTACGTTAGATGTTGATGAGCAACAATAGAAATAATGCATTTGAACCAAAGAACATTGAGAATGTGTCTGTTGTTTAAATTTTTTGGCAAATGAGCTTGGGGTCAGAAGGATACAATTTTAAGCTCCAACCTCTTTTTTCATCGGAAAACCACATGCTCTTGTTCATGAGATACGGAAGAACAGTTCTCTCTGCTGATCACACGAATGTTTTCAACCAGAAAGAATCAATAAATAGTATTCAGTAACTTCAATATTTTCAAAATTGTTTCGTTAAAATAAATTAAAAGTTAAGAGTAAGCAAAACAAAATATTTTAACGCATATTTTGCATCTCAAACACGCGATCTCATGCACCATTGAACATGAACAATGTGCAATTGTCTGGTAGTAATAACACAAAATTTATGGGTCTCTCAATTCTCTCATACCTTATATGTAATAGCTACATAAATGATCTGAGCACTAAATTAAATTCATTTTGTTAGGTAATCAGAGAGTTCTTCAGTTTAATCAGTCTCATGCAGCTCCTTCGTGTATCTTCCGCCTATGATACCATATAATCTGGGAAAAAGAACTAAGAATATAACTAAGAATATGCAAATGTATCCAAATGATTTATGCTACATTACTGTTTCTACGCACTGATAGATTAAACTGAGATTTCAAAGGAAAATATTAATATTTATTTATCAATGCTAATGCGTGGCCCTCGATGGCTCGGGGGTTTGTGTCCCTGTGTTCCATGGCTCAACCCCGGGTTCGATTCCCCACCAGGAAAAATTACAACTCTGCGCTTTCTTTACAAGTGCCCCAGTATTTATTGCTGTGTGACGAGAAATATCACCCGAAAGTTACGAAGGCCAGAATATACGGTGTAGGGATGTCTTCGTGCAAACCACACGAACTCCTTATCCTAGCTGGGCCACCGCTGGTCGCCCCTTATCGGATGCTGAGCCACCGCTGGTCGGCCAAGGCTAGTATCGGCCTGTCGAGCCAAGGACAGGACAGTATAATCCATTACTTGACTTTTGTAAGGAATAATTCTAAAATACAAAATGTATCTGTATCTTGTTGGGACTTCATCACTGAACTATGTATAGCATGAGTATACGAGATAAGGTAGTACTTTGGAGTTCAAGAAACCATGCGCCGATTACCTGTTCCACATACGACATTTACTGTTTTGTGAACTGTCTATAAGTTATATTAATGAAAACAAAAGATGCCTTTTTTCAAAGACATTTTTTTTGTTTATTTATAACACGAAATAAATAATTAACATGATTGTATTTTCTTCTTTGAACGTACTTGAATTGTTTTACTCTTTACACCACACTGAGAGGATCAAGTGACATGATTTTTACGAGGATTTGCAAATTGTCCATAAATTACATTTAAGAAAACAAAAAATCCTTTTTTATATGTTTATTTTAAAAAAATATTTAAATTAAAAAATGATATTTTGTTTTTATAAATTTTACTGATTTTGATTAAAAAACAAATTTCAAAAAAAAAGTCTTTGTAATGAATATCGGCAGCGATTTTTGCCAGTGTACAAACATTGCTGGCACAGTATAAATTGACCAGAGACAAAGGATCTTAATCGGATCAATGATGCATTGTACGAGTGGAATGTGTTCAATTAAGTTTCTTTTTCATAATTTTCACTCAATAACGGGAGAGAACTATGGAAAAACTCACGAGATTCGACGCAAGAGTCCAGCAATACTTTGTGTATATCTAAGGAATGCAAATGCTCCGTCGAGTGCAAGTGTGTGCTTTGTGTGCAGGAGGGCGACTGGAAGCAAGGCATCCCGGGCCGCCACGCGTACTCTGTGACAGGCGTGTACACGGTGCGCGCGGGAGACAACATCGTGCGACTGGTGCGCGTGCGCAACCCGTGGGGAGCCAGTGCCTACACTGTGGAGTGGAAGGGCGCATTCAGCGACAAGTACGGCTCGCCCTCCTAGCACTTCTTCTGCCTGCACCACACCTTTCTGGGTCTTGTCTCTTTTAAACACCACATAACTTTTTATTTTTTAAAGTTTACCCCTTTACCTCTCCCATTCTCCTCCTTATCCCTTTTCCTTCTCTATTTTGGTGTTTCTATTTATTTTTTTCATTTATTTATAGTCGCATCGACTGCTGGGTCATTAGCGTCTTCAGTTACATTTTACTGTTTCATATTACATTTGTGTTTTACAATATATTACTTCTGTATAGATAGTTTTATTATATATATACACTTTACTTCTTCACTTATTAAACTTGAAAAATGATTTACTACTATTTCATATATCGAATTTAGCACACCAATTCGTTTTAAAAAGTTTGTAACATCGTACACACTTTCAATGTTGTCCAAACAGTTCTTGATGTTCTCAGGCAATCCAGTTCTTTCACAATGGTAATCATTAAATTTCTTGATATATGTAAAATAAAGATTGCAGTTCCATATTTAGGGCATCTGTGCACTAGTGTTTTGTATATGAGCTGAGAGTGTGTCAAGTTGGTGTGACCTATTCCTTGTCTGGTCAATATACATCGAATCTTGTGGGTTTTGATATATGGTTGAGGTGTGTCAGAGCTAAGTGACGAAAACGTCTTAATATATTGAATCACAAACCGCTATGTAATTATATTATTTCAAATATTGGAGCCATCAAAAAATGTATACATGTATTTCAGGTGTTAATGTTCTGTTTGTTTGTTTACAGTGACCCGAAATGGACTGGTGTAGATAAAGAAACAAGAAAGAAACTCGAGTATCTAAAAAGTCAAGATGGGCAGTTCTTCATGAGAATGTCTAATTTCCTTAAGCACTTTCCTAGGATTTGGTTTGCATCTCCATTCCCCGACTTTGGGGACAACTATCAAACAACTTCTTTACAGGCAAGTATTCAAAGGAAATGCAATTCGCAATTAAAATAATACGTATGGTGTAAGTCATGAGAAATGATATTTTCTGAACTTTATATGTATGTATTTCTTTCCCCTCTCCCTATTTCTCTCTTTCTCTCTAAATATATAAATATAATTTCAAATTCGCAAAATTTAATTACCGAGTTACATTTATTTTATAATAAGTTTAAACAATGATTTTAATTTTCAGACGTACCTTTTTTCGAATTCTTGGGACGCAGACATTACAATGGAAAATGATTCCATAAAGGAAGTTTTTCTGAAGAGTCCACAGTATTCTCTTATTGTTGGCGAAAGTAAGTACGCATTTATCAGAAAATCTTCATTTTTTATAAGTATTAGTTATAAAAAACTACATGACAAATTCAGACATAACACGGAAGTGAATCAATATATTTGAGACGCAGGGAACACCAAAAAACATTCACTTTGACTCTACAATAACTTATTTAGCTGATTATTAACAAATAACTGTTAAAACAGATAATTGTTTCTTCCGTTTTCACTCGCGAGGCCATACTTCATGATTGCAAATCGCAGAATAACCCGTAAATCAATTGCAGGCCTGTTCAAGATTCGCGCTCTTCAATCCAGCTTGCAGCTCTCAAGCGCAGCGCAAATAGTTGCTGCGCTGGCAAACGTCTGTTCCTCCGTGTTTCTTCAGCGAAAGCAAAGGGGAATGTATTTAAGCGGGAATACCTTGAAGCGGGGATAAGATGAAAAGGGAATATGTTGAAGAGAGAATACCTGGAAAGGAATGTATCTGGAAGAGGGAATACTTGGCACAGAGCATACTTGGAGAGGGAAAACCCAGCAGAGGAAATGCCTGGAACAGACGCCATTGGCACCTCGACGGGGTTCACACGGTTCGCGCTCTGCTCGAACCTGCGTCACCGTCTCAGCTCTCATTGAGTTCGCAAATTACGCACTGTCTGTTCGTCTGCTAGTCTGTTCGTTCAATTTGCGGCTCCTCTCGCATTATCGCGAACTCCCGCAAACGCGATGTCGCAAACTCCCGAGTGGGTGTGCCGCTGGTATTTTCGTCTCGCATACATCCGAGATTCCGAAACCTTCTTCCATATTTCCGATTTCTCCGAGCCTTTGAAACCTTCTTTTTCATTTCCGATTCTTCCGAGTCTGTGAAACATTCTTCCTTATTTCCGATTCCTCCGAGTCTCTGAAAACTTCTTGCCCTTGCCCAGCCTTTGAAACCTTCACCACGTTCAAATCTTTCAAGTCTCTGAAGTCTTTGATCGCACGTCTAGCTCATCGGAGAGGCTGAAACCTTCTACCTGTCTGTGTCTCCGCTGATCACCTGCACTTGACTCCCTTCCTTTCGTCTCATGTTCCGTATCGTTAATCTGATTGGTCCTCGTCTTGCATAGTCGGTGCGATATGCCGTGTTAGGTACGTGCAAAATTGGTCGGATGACCTTCCAGAATATCTGGCGTCTTACAAGTCTCTTTTTGTAATGCACTCGCATGTTCGTCACATTATGCATTGGTTTTCCCAATTCTGTGTGTAAATATCAATTACGGGATGTCGCCCCCTTTGTTTATCAATATCTCCGGCAGAGAAGTCCCTCGGAATTAAAGTTGTGAGGAAGACGGGGACTTCCTGTCTTCGCTCAAAGCTTGTGCGATTAGCCGCATTTCGGACAAGACGTCACAAGATGCTGAATCAACCCGCATGAAACAGTAACGCAGCAAGGTGGGAGTCTCCTGCTTCCGAAGCTATCCCTACCGATGCCTTCACGGGAATATAGCCTGATGTTGCTACTCCCAGAATACATCCAACTGAACGTCAAAGAGGTAGTAATAAACTGACAGGTGATTGGGCAATTCGTGACATACAGCGAAATCTATAACGAGTCTCATTTTTAACTTATCTACTCGAACTTCCAAATCCCTTTTTTAAAAACAAACTCAATTTTGAAGAAAACAGCCACAGTCTATTAGCAGAATAACCGGGAAAGTTGTGCTCCCAAATTTCAGAATATGGAGCTGAAAGTGCCAATATGAGAGAATGCTCTGGCGAAGTAGCGTTTGAAGTAAGGGTGTGATGCTTTGAAAAATTCCCTACAATATTCAGTTAGTTGTCTTTTTGTCTGAAAGAGAATATGGAATTTTGTAAATTTATATTGAAAAATATACGATTATTAGAGGTTATTTATTTATAACGTTTGGTAGTAGTATTGATAATTGGATTAAACAACTATACGTAATAAATTATACGCTAAATAATTATTTCAGGTTGTCAACAGAAAGGGAAGAGCGAGCAAAAGAATGATATGGCTCCATTATACGATGTCGTTATTGAAGTAGTTCAAGAACAAAATCGAAAAGAGTTTGGCAAACAGCTGTACGAAATTTGTATACTTGTAATGAAGGTGAGTGTAGAGCGCAGAACATAAAATAATTTTCATGTACGTTACGGAATTGGTATTCTAAGCAGGTATTTTTTCTTTGAGTTTTTCATGCAAATCGTGTGTGTAAAAAAAGAATTTTTTTTTAATTTCTCCACCACAAATTTCACAAAAAACGATATATCACATAATATTGACATACTTAAAAAAATCATTTTTAAAATCTTTTATTGCATTTATTGGATTTAATTAATTGCAGTGTTTTTTTAAATTTTTTCTCATGATTCTTTTTCTAATTGAAACGAGAAGTAAACCAGATTTGAAACCAAATTATTTAACACTTTCAAAGTTTGCATGGAGAAAATATCTGAAGAATTCTTGAAATCATTTATTGAGTAAATTTTTTCAAAATGCCAAAAATAACTTTTTTAAATATTCTTTATTATTATTTATTCAAACGTTTTCAAGAAAGAATACTTTCATATTTACTTTCATTTATTTTCTGTCCTAAACCAAATAAACCAGTTAAAGCTGAGACCAAATTGTAACATTCCTACTCCCAATTTGGTTTCTAAAGAGATAGAAAGAAATACCGCCATCTAAAATATAACCTACAAAATTGATATTTTTCAACAAAAATTTTGCAAACTTTTATTTCCTTAAAATTTACGCTTATCATAAATATTGACAATAATACATCAATTTAGCAATTGATGTCATAGATTTAGTATATTAAGAGTTGCGCAAAAGGAAACTATTTATATAATCAATTGATGAGTAAATTCATATTGCAGGTGGGAGGAAAGTTTCCAAGAAAATTTACTGCCGAGACTATGGAAGATTTTCAAGAGTGCGAAGGATCCAAAATACCAGAACGATCTGCCAGTGTAACCACCAAATTGAAACTTGAACCAGGCAATTATCTCTTAATCCCAGGAGTGATGCAAACATTTATAAGTCGACAATTCCTAATGCGTATTTACAGCCGAAAACCAATTAAGGTTGCAGCTTTAGAAAGAGAATAAATTTTGCAGCTTTCGCACTATTATCGGAGTCTGTTGATTCTCTTCCTACAACTACAAATATGAAGACACAATTTTTGATTAATGAAATGTGTTTATAAAACAAATCTTCAAATAAAGTCATGTTAAATTGTTTTGAAAATAAGAGTAATTTTTGTGTAATTTAACGAAAAATATAATACTGCACTCCTAATTTATTGTGCTTTGCCTTTGCGTTTTCCTATAAATATAATTGTAAAAATACAATTGTTTTTCTTAATGAAATATGCTCATCAAAAATAGATCTTTCAATGTCGACATATTCAATTTTTTTAAATATGAGTACTTGGGGGGATAATTTGGGCACAATCGCCCGCTCCAAATATACTGCGCTTCATTGATGTTATTCCCGACATTTGGATGTTTCATAAGTTAGAATTTATACATTATTTCATAACTATTTGATCGCTTCTAACATTCAACCCCTTGTGCTACTTTTACACAAACTTTTAAAATTATATAAAACCTCTAAAATACTGCTAGCTTTCAAGGAATATCAAATTCCAATTTTACAATGACTCGGGAGCTCATTCTTATTGATTGTGACTTATTGTTGGGATATTATGTATCTGAATAAAAAGCAGTTATAATTGTCAAATTTGTGTTGAAATTAGCATTAAAGTATTTTGTTTTTGCACCTAATGTTGTACGATTTTTAATGAGCACGGTTTGGCAGTATTTAAATACTTGTTTTTGAAGTACCTATTTTAATACATTGACATGTTCATCCACGGCAGTCTCATGACAGTTTTCCTTTGCAGGTATTATACATTCTCCAAGTACGGGTTTATTGTCTGATGATTTGTTTGAATAATTAGTTGTTTTAAAAGAAAATTCCATTTCTTTGTGTCAGACATATTTTAAATATCATTTTATATTTGAGAATGATTACAATACGTTACAATAGTTATTGTTCTGAAAAGCTAAACTGTCATTATTACAAGCATGTAAGTCTTACACTTTCTTCATAAGTAATTGCTCCGAATGAAATGAACGTGTATCATACTCAGTGGCGTGTTCGTGGTATTGTGAGCCATGAATCTTAAATACGTTGCTTCACAAACTGCCATTGTCAACTAATAGGCGATAGTGTGGTGCCGGCATAGTCAATAGATCACGTGTCCTACGCGTTTGCAACATACGCAGCAACAACGCACATCTATTGTGAAACTATGTTCGCTTCCGAGGCATTCAAAATAAATTTCTACAATCGCCAGTTATAACTCTCGGCATTCCTAGACTTAACCAATGCTTGCCAACCGTCGCCATCATCCCCATCTGCAGGCTGATAAAAATATGTGCTCATGTTGAGTCTTAAAGTCTTCATTGCACCACCATGATTTTGTTAGTATTTAATGTACTATGCTTTTCATTTCAGCTCTAGTGTATTATGTTGCATATTCAAATTCATGTTAAGTGTTAACGGCAATTAACACAATCTTCAACTGTAAATTCCCACGGCTGAATCAGTCTTCTAATGTACATACCTACGGCTAGTGCAATCATTGATATAGTTTCAACATAGGCGGAATCACATAATAAAATCAAGTGTATCTTTTCTTTAGTTTTAATTTCTCTTCAAGAAGTACATGCCTACTGAATAATCCTAAAGTAATAGTGACCATCTCTGCAGATATTAACATTTACAGAGAGTGCGTCCGAACCACATTGTCCGCAGCGGTTCCCTAATTATTAATTACAACTTTGTCAAGGTAAGTGGAAGCTGATGGCTGCTGGGCCATCTGAAGAATCTCATCAGTCCACTGCCTCCTCAGTCAGACAACAAATACATCTTTGCATTGGTAAGTACAAGTTGTTCAAGTGGTGGCTTATAAAGTTTCACGAAAATTAAAACTTTTCTATTAAAATTAGCTCAAAATCCCTCAATTTTAGAAACGCTCAAACGATGTTTTCTCAAAACACTGATCGATTTTTTTTCTTTAAAGTTTTACTACGAATAGTGATGAATGCAATAAATATCATGATACATATGACATTTATTTGATTATCCAAAACATAACACTAAATACATTTTTTGATATACCTCGCACAGCGTTTCCAAGAAGGCAATTTTCTCAATTATAGACAGAAGTATTAGCAAAGCAACTAAAACTACAGTAAGTAAAATGAATAAAACATACACTTTAACCTTCAGTTGAAATTTATGAATTCATGTAGCATAATAAATAAGAACATTTTATTTTTTAAATATTTACAAAAATATAATCAAGCATTTTATTTCTTATCGTTTTGAGGTTGGATTACCTACATCCAAGATACGCTAGTTATTTGGGAAATATATTAGCATTCCTAACGCGTAATTCACTCTTCCAGTGGCAATCTGAACAACACTTCCGGTTCGCAACCACAACGCGACATCAAGTTCCTCATTAATTACGCTGTAATCCTTTTATTAAAACATATCACTTATATCGCATCAGTACACAGTGTTATGAAAGGTCACATAAAAGAGTATTTCTGGAACAGTTCTGAGTGGTTTCGTGGAAAGACGCTGAAGCAGTAGGCTACATTCAAGTCACTTTTGCCAACGCAGCTATGCCTCTCAAGGTAAGAATAAATTGCATTAAACAACACGAGATGTAGAAAAGGGTCTAGCAAATGAAATTGTGAATGAACTGTCTTTTCCTGACAATGTATCGTTTTTAAACCTCACAACGGTTTTTTTCAAATGATTGCGCCATGCCTGGTTTTTGCAATTTATAAATGAAATCTCTATTAATGAATAAACAAAATTAAAGAAGCTTTAAAGGTAATTTCGTATAAAATTGGTCACTTAATAAAGTAGCCCAAAATTTAGAAAAGAATAATACTGCACAAGGCGTTTCAGTAATCGAAATCTGTTATTTAGCTTGTCTCTTTGTATTTACCTTTATGATCACTCTATATATTCCCAATATAGATTACTTATTTATAAAAGTAACAAAAATATGCATTTAATGACAAAATTCAACTACGTTGGTAACTTTACGATACTTCATGTTGTTATTTATATCACAGTATAATACTCTCACCCCATCCACTTGCAAAATTATTTCACGTTCGTAGATACTAAAAATCAACATTTCTAGATCACTCCCAATTACATCAGTCATTCAATGTTTGCGTTTTTGGGCACTTCCAAAAAAACTGATTGTAATATTTCGATTCAAAAAATAATTCAGGTTACACAGCGTTAACGCCGATTAACATCAACAGCACAATGTACAAATAATCATTTGGCGTTGTAGTATATCGCACGCACGATAGTTTTCTACTAATTTCGCGTAACACGCAAGATGAGCAATCGGTAAAACGCGCAACCACTGCATGGAAGTGTTGCAAGTTGAAAACATGCCTAAGAATTTAATTCCTAAGTTGATTTCATAAAATGCAAATGTAAACCACTAACCTCCCCTTGAAATTTATTAACAGATGCCCCAGAAAATCAAATAGCAGATATTCGTTTTTTTATCACGTCATCAAAACTACAAAACGAATGAAAACTTCCTGCACGAGTACTTCCGAGATTATTCGTCAACCAGACGACACATTATTGTTTGAAATAATATCTCATTCATAATTTTCCGTGAAAATTCCATTCTGAAATCTTTGAAGAGTAAAAAGGAAACGTCCCGTGTTTCGCAATAGTTTCGAACACGAAGTAATCATATGTAAAGAATAATAATTAACCGAAAGAACACCTTTGCAAAATAAGAAAACTATTCTGGTAGAAAGATAACTATATTTTATGTGCTTAGGAGGAGGAGACAGAGGAGATGCAAGCGCTGGTGGCTGAACAAAAATATATGGACGAAGACTTTCCTCCGCCTGAAGAACGTTGGATGCGGCCCCACGTAAGATAATTACATATTTGATATCGTATGAGAGAACCAATTATTCGATCACATGTGAATGAGTAAAGAATTAAATAAATAAAACGTATTATCATGGTTGAATAGGTTTTAATCAACACACAGCCACAGAATATATTAACTAATTATTACATTATATTTTGTTTATAATAATGTTTCACCTCATGAACTATAAAAATATGTATTTGTCAGAATATCCACAAATGTTTTGCGAAATTTAGCGTCGCTCTTTTTTCTTTTTTTTTATAGTTTCATCTCTTTGAAGTACAAATGAACCAACTATTACCCATAATTAATATTCTGAATCAATTTTCATTGTTCTTTCAATCACATTTAATTTATATTAGAAACGAACGTGTGCTGTCAGTCTTAAATGTGTGTTTGCAAGTTCGTGATAGACAATTTTCGTAGTTTGGTTGTGTGTGCCTTGTGTTTGGCGTGTACATGGTTACGGACATGGTTCTGATTTTGACCACCGTTGGTTGCCTACTGACACCTCCCGGGTCGGACGTATTACTGGAGGCAAAGCAAGAAGCCTCTCTATCCATCCCACTGTTGTGACTGGTAAGCCTTTAAGGGTAATTGTACACACAGTTAGAAAACGGCTCTAGGGTTGCGTTCAGTCGCGTAGTACATGAGCGGAGCCAGCTTACTTCTAAATGACACCGTTACGGTGTCATGTAAGCCGTTGCGTCGCCCCTGTGTTATCCCTGCTTCCCGGTCACACCACTATAATGGAAAAGGAAAGAATTAACAACAGTGCTTTTGTTAAATCACAGCTACATTTTAGGGACGAGGTACTTCACTTCCACATTTTATCTCCCATTCCTACAGAACATTTCATTACACTACATCCCATGAGGTGAGTTAAAATACAAAAATAGATGCTGACATTGATATAAGTGAGCAAAGTGTTCGTATCATATGTAAGCGTTATTCACAGTTGTACTATAGTATAATAAATAATAGCCAATACCAATAAATACTAGCACTTTTTTGTTGACAATCGCAATTAAAAAATAATATATTATTTGAAAAACTGAAGCATTCAAGAGACATCGGTCTGCGTCACAGTGCATTGTACTAACAAAAAATACAAATAAGACAAATAATGTTTCTATAAAATGTTTACGTACATGAAATCAATATAAAATTCTCCAATATTCGTATTTATAAATAAAATAAATATAATATATACTCACCAATTTCTTTTATATAATAACTGTTGATACAAATAAATCCACAAACAATTAATATGTTCTTGATTAAGACCTATTAAAATATAAAAATTTACTTTCTCATTAAATTTCCTCGCCTCGCCCCGGTAAAAATGTATGTATAAGTAACCGCGAATAAAGATGATACACAGAGAAATGTTACTGCGCATCATAACTACACCTAGAGATTTTACGCAAAAAGGGATTAATTATATACATAAAATACTTAAAATAGGTAACAAAATTATGAAATTAAGCACTAAGGCATGAAAAGTGACGTTTTAGGCACTGAAAAAAGGTTACGAAATTAATGTATCAGGCATTTGAAAATACTTGACATGAAAAGTTATGTTTGTGGAATCTAAACTGATCACTATATAATTGAATTAGGCACTTTTTTCTTTCTCGCTACAACTTACGTGCTAGAGAAAAAGTTATGGAACACTACGTGAAAAAACAGTAAATTTTCCGCACAAAAACTCTTATTACTGGCACTGGTAACGAAAATGTAGATAAATCCTGTGGCTCAAAGATGTAGTAGAATAAGGGGAATAAACATGACCCTAAGCTTAATTCAGTTTTGACTAAAGGGCATATTTATTGTTGCTTCGAAAGTCATTTTTCCAAAATTGCATAACGGAATTCTGATTATTTTGTAAATTATCAGAAAAAATACAAATTCGCGGTTGATTTTTTTGTCATTACTCGGAAATAAAATTCTAAAAAGTTATGAGACATATATACGTATCCTGGAGTGCTATTCAGGACAATTTGGCTAGAAATTCAATTTTTTAATATAAAATTATTATTCGGTATTTTTCTATTTTATATGTAGAGCGACGATTCCAAAAAATCCTACAAATCGGTAATAAGGTTTTCTTAACTACTGATTTTTTTCAGTTTTTTGGGAGGTGCGTCATATTGAAAAAAATAATAATTCTTTTTCGTAAATTATTCGTATATAACTCATGATAAATTAATTACTTTTTACAGAAAAATACTTTTGAGAGTGAAAATAAAATTTTACAAAACAAAAACTTTGCAAATTATTTTTGGCGCCAAATTTAAAGTTTCAAAAATTAAAAAAGTAAAAACAATCATTTTTGGCATGTTTTTGTGACCGGTTTTCATGTGAATTTTTTCTGTTTAACGTACAAAAAGAAAAAGAAAAAAATAATCAGTAGTAAAGAACACATTAATACCGATATGTATGAATTTTTTGAGACGTCAAAAAGAAAAATTCTGAATACTAATATAGTAATTAAAGTAAACTATTTTTTAATTGGAAATAGCTGTGTGTGTGTGTGTGTATGAGTGTGCGTGCATGCGTGCGCGCGTTTGTGTGTGGCGTTACCGAATACGGTATTACTAAATAATATTATTTCCAATAGTTTTCCTACATCAGCCGGCCCATTAAAGCTGTCCTTATGGGCCCCTCAGGTCTGCGTGTTTTCAAGGCGCCAGCAACCCCCTCCCCCCCTTCAACCGATTCGGCAAATTGGCATCAACCACCCATTCATGACATTTTAGGGTCATTAGATACTTTAAGTAGTCCTATTTTTTTTTCATGATTCGTACACTGCAATTGTTTTCAACAATCGCCCAAAGGAACTAATTAGGCATTTGTCTCTCAATTCGAGGTTTAATCATGACGACACAACTTTCACGCCATATGCCGAGTTTCGCGAACCCAGCCGAGACGTAACATATACTCTTATGCCCCTGCGCTCCTCTAGTCGGCAGAAATGGGGCGAAAAGGATGGAAATGAGCCCCACTGTGAAAGACATATCAATGTCCGAGGCAGGATTTGTTCCGGAACCCCTTCGAGCAGTGAAGCAGGTTCTACCCAGGATCTAGGCTTCCCAGGACGCCAACCACACATTTTATGTTTTACAGGAACTGGTGGAAAACCCCAAGATGTTTGTTGACGGCCCGAGCCATATGGATATAATACAGGAGAACTTGGGAGATTGCTGGTTTTTGGCTGTTGCGACAGTGGTCGCACAACATCCAGATCTCATTTATCAGGTGAGAGAAAACAAAATAATATAAGAATTGATAAGAACTGATTGTAATCTTTGATCGGCAATAAATCAGCGTCGATGAATGAGTACATTTCATTTACACAAATAAAACAGACTGTGATATATTGTGCGAGAAAATATTTTTTAGAAACTATTAAAATATCAATAAAATTTACATACGTATATTTTATTCTTTATATTTATTTCATATATTAATATGCATTAATATTCATAATATGCATGATGCACTGATGAGCCAAATAAACTGGTACAACCATGCGTATGGAAAAAAAGGAGATCTGGAACCAATCAGAATAGTCGGCAACGGCTATATTAGACCGCCAGTGTCTGGCACAGTTGTTAGATCGATTTCTGCTGCAACAGTGGCAGGTTATCACAATTTAAGTGAGTATGAACATGGCGTTATAGTCGGCGCAAGAGAGATGGGGCATAGCATCTCCGAGGTCGCCATGAAATTTGGATTTTTCCATACGACAATTTCACGAGTGCTCCGTGAATATCAGGAACCCGGGAAAAATCAAAACTCCAGCATCGTTGCGGCCGAAAAAAGGAAACCGCAAGAACGGGACCGACGACGACTGAGAATAATCATAATAGTTAAAGAAATCCTACCCTTCCGCAAATTGCTGCGGATTTCAATGCTGGGCCATCAACAAGTGAGTGTGCGAACCATTGAATGAGTCATTATCGATAAGGAATTTCGTACTCTAAAGGCCCTCGTTTACACTTGATGACTGCTCGACACAAAGCTTTAGGCCCCTCGTGAGCCCTTCAACACCGACATTAGATTTTTAATGACTGGACACACGTTACCTGGTCCGACGAGTCTCGTTTCACATTGTATCGAGCGAATGGATGTGCATGAGTATAGCGACAACCTCATGAATCCATGGACCCTGCATGTCAACAGGGGACTAGTAGAGTCTCTTTGATCATATGGGGCGAGTGCAGTGCGAGTGATATGGGGCACCTGTTACGTCTAGATACGATTCTGACAGCCGACACGTACGTGAGCATCTCATATCCTGCACCTTTTCATGTCCATTGTGCATCCCGACTACCTTGCACAATTCTAGCAGGACAATGCGATTAACCACACGTCTGGAATTGCTACAGAGTCTCTCCACGAACACTATTGAGTTTAAACACATCCACTGGCCACCAAAATCCCCAAACATGAACATTGTTGAGCATATCTGGGATACCTTGCAACGTGTTGTTCAGAAGAGATTTTCACCCCGTCGTACTCTTACGAGTCTATGGACAGCCCTACAGAATGGAGTCAATTACCTTCAGAATTACTTCAGACATTAGTCGCGTCCATGCCACGTCGTGATGCGGCACTTCTGCGAATCCAGGAAGCATTCCACTATGCCAGTTTTTTGGCTCTTCAGTGTGTACATTCATGAGCTTCCACGCAAAATTCAATTTTATAGGAAGTATATGAAGAAATGAGGATAATTGCTCATTTTATCACTTCTATTTTGTCACTTGTTTTTACAAAATATTGAGGTAACTTTTTTTTTTAATGGAACTGTAACATTTTGTAGTCTAACGTAAAAATACACATCCAATAATAATATTTGAAATGTTAGATAAGCATTATTTTTAAGTAATTTTGATTTCTTGTGCTCACAAATGCCTTAATGCCTTGCCCGAGCGCGCATTAGCAGGGGAGCGCCACGTAATTGATAATAATTTTATTTTATATTTCATTTATTATAAAATAAAAAACATAAAAATCCGTCGAAATAAAAATTGAGTTTTACTGATTAAATCAAATTCTATTACCAAATAACATGGAAATGCATTTTATTAAATTTAAGTTTTCTCTAGGTGATACCAGCAGATCAACCTCTCTACGGCAAAGATTACAAAGGAATTCTGATATTTCGCTTCTGGAACGTGGGGAAGT